CGTGTCACCACTACCTGTCCGAGCATCACAGCCTCAGCTTCAATTCCTCCAACTCCCCAACCAGCCACGCCCAAGCCATCAATCATCGTAGTATGGGAATCCGTACCAACCAGAGAATCAGGATAGAGTACCGCACCAGGAGCAACTTCATCAGCTCCCATAACCACTCTTGCTAAGTACTCGAGATTGACTTGATGAACAATACCAGAGCCAGGAGGGACAATCTTGAGGTTGTTAAACGCCTTAGCCCCCCACTTTAGAAACCCGAAGCGCTCGCGATTCCTCTTGAACTCTAATTCTTGGTTCTGATCGAAAAACCATCAAAACGATTACCAATACAATTCACTCAGTTTCACGAGCACACTGATAATGGTGACTATGCGCACGGTTCGGACATACCACACGCTGTAGGAATATATGTTTGCTTTCCTCAGTTGAGCTCAGTCACTTTACATACGAACTCGAATAGAACTGCGCATAAAACCATCGAAAATTTCTTTACGCCATCAACACATGTAGTTGACCACATGCATATTTTCCCACCCTAGTCTTACATATCGATGAAAGTGTACAACCACCAACAAAAATTCACCCTGACTATATACTTATAGATCTGTTGGGTGTAATGTTATAGTAAATGATAATACGGTATCAAATTAAAACATTGGAGTTTCACCCGTTTTACGCCAAATTCACTGCTCACATGCGTTTTTCGCCAAGTGAAATGTGTTTTTCACTACTGTTTTTCACATCACGGGTGAAACTCCCCCCCCCTTAGATGCCTACCCTCTCAAGAGCTTGTGCATTCCTGGAATAATCTGCCATCACCGAATGGTCAATCACTAAGTCCACAGGCACCAGAGGGTTGATCTTAGAGGAGTCTCCTCCTAGTCGTGCCATGGCGTCACGCATCGCCGCGAAGTCAACTACCGCTGGCACCCCAGTGAAATCTTGCAGAATGACTCTTGCAGGTTTGAAGGGAATTCTGGAGAAAAAAAAATAAAAATTTTCGGAAAAAATTAGAGTACCATAAAAAATGTGAAAAATCACCAGTAAATCGCAAAAAATGGAGTTTCACCGGTGAGAGAAAAACTGTTGTGGAAAAAACGTATTGCTGACATATTTTTTGATATTTTTATGCTGCTAACCACTACTATCCACGAAAAAATACAAAAAAATACAAAAAAATACAGAAAAATACAAAAAAATACAAAAAAATACCAAATAAAAATACCAAATAAAAATACAAAAAAATACAAAAAAATACAAAAAATATAAAAAATACAAAAAAATACCAAAAAAATACAAAAAAATTACAAAAAATGATAACCATCCTAATTTTTT